GGCCTGGAACCCAGGCTAAGATCACCTTATTGTATCTACTTAGCTCTGTCAGGGCTTCTCGACAGTCTTTCACCAGTCGTGATTCGATTTCTAGTGAGAGAATTGCCTTTAGAGCTGCTTGGCTATCAGAGTTTATGACAATAGTTTTGCATGATACTTGCTGATTTTTCATGTAGGTAAATTCAAGTACAAGTAAATTCAAATACAAGCGAATTCAAGTTACCTTTCGATTTTTAATATTTATTGGTTTATAGTTTATTGTCATTTACTATATATTTGCCTGGTTATTATTATTATTATTATTATTATTATTTAAAATTTAAAATGAACATTAAGTAAGGTAGGGGTATCTAAATAAAACACTGTCCTAAAAATATATAATTTTTTAATTAATAATTACAAAAAAAACATAATATGGCAAAAAATATCGCAAAAAAACTGTGAAAATTTTTAAAATAATGTTTTAAATATATAAAATACTTTAATTTTATTAACTAAAATTTCATTTAATTTTTTTATGCTTGGTTATTAATGTTATAACTTACTGCAACGTTTCTTTTTGCAGCAGATGGTGTTCCAAAAACAGTTGAATCAGAACTTAAAACCCATACATTAGATATACATACATATAGGTAATAAATAATGTTTAGAGGTAAACAAAAAATTAATATTTTGTATTTTTACCTGTTGGATAAGTCATCCAAAAATAGAAAGCCCTCACACCGTCTGGAGTTTGCATCTTTTCTAATATATCTAGTACCATTTGCACGTACCAGAACATTTTCAGGAAAACAGTGTTCTAAACACAACTCTGGGTTTTTACGAAGGGGCTGATTTCAAGGATTCCTATTAGAGAAAAACAAAAGTTTTCGTTTCTCAGGATCTTGCGGAAACCTAAATATAGTAAAAAAAATATGTATATGTATAGGTGCTCAATAGGTAAATCATTTTTAACCGACTTCAAAAAAGGAGGAGGTTATCAATTCGTCGCGATATTTTTTTTTTAAGTATGTTCAGCGATAATTCTTTAACACGGTGTCCGATTTCAATAATTCTTGTTTTATTGGAAAGGGGCTACTTCAGGGGTGGTCTTATATAAATTTGGTCAAAATCTAATAATTGGGTCCATGAGAAAATCCTCAAACTCCTCATTTTTTATGTATGTTTAGCGATAATACTTTACCACCTTGTCCGATTTATATGATTCTTTTTTTGTTAGTAAGGGGGTACCTCAGGGGTGGTCTCATATAAATTTGGTTAAGATGTGGTGATGGCATCTGCACGTTTTTGAAGTCGGTTTTTTAACTTTTTAATTTCTAATACTTGTTAAGGTATTCTACATTTTACGTTAAATTTTCTTTGCCACTATTCAATAATTATTTATTGGTATAAGAAAAATTTACTAATTTATAAAAGGAATATCACTTTAAAAACTGTTTTAAGACTGTTTTAGACTGTTTTAGACTACACAAGTTTTTGATACAATTTCTTGTACAATTTAAATTGTATATTATCAAACTTGCAGTAAATTGTCTGAAAAATTAGATTGGATAATTATTTTTCAAACAATTTACTTTGTGATCCTATATAATTTAAATTCTATAAGAAATTGTATCAAATCTTGTACAAGCCCTACTCCACTGGTTCAAATGAAAACAACATATCTTAACCTAAAAATACTTACCGATGAAACCATACATTTCGACTTAAATGATCTACATTTTTAAACACTACACATGCATGTACCATAATTCTTTATATCTCTCACAAAAGTTCACAAAAATAGTATTTTATAAATGAAAAGTCGCACGGAAACTGTCACATACTGTCAGAAATACAAAATAGCTATTAGACCTGATTGGCAACGTTGCGGCTGGTTACGGTACTACATTTGATTCATAAAAATTGTAAATTCGTAAAATAAGATATTCAGCGTTGCCGTATTTACGGAGTTCTTCGAAACCCTAATATTTTGTTTAGATTAATATTGATTTTTTAATAAAACATTTAGCTTATATTAAAACTTCAAAGAATAATTTGATTAAAAACATATTTTTATTTATATAATATAAAATTATAGTTACAGGACACATCAAATTTTATTTTTCGAACGTAATTTCTCCAAATAATTTTGACAGATTGATAAAATCGGCAAAGACGCAATAAACGAGAATCTGGTGGGAATAATGATTTGCCACATACAAATGTAAACAATTTGGTCTCTAAGTTGTAATGTCTTTGGTACTACTCATGTAAAAAGGCCCTAAGGCCTGTTTGAGTTTTATTAATAAATAAATAAATAAATAACATAATTGATCACAATAAGTACAAAATTTTAAAACTGAACTTTGTAACAACAACCATACCCCGTCTCATCTATTGATTTAAAGCGTTTTTCTTACCAACCACATTTAATTATATTTTAATAGTTCTTTATCGCCAAATAATGACTAGAAATTAGATACCTACGTACTATTAACTACAATTTGTAACAATTATTTGCTTTTAAATTAACAAAAAAAAAAACATAAGAAAACTAGTCTACAAAGCACAGAATAAACCTCAACTACTAAAACTAAAATGTATAGTTAATTGACTGTGAAAAGGAATTTATAAAGTCTCGCCGACTATTTTAAATTCACGTGCGTTTTGTGCTGCACGCTAGAGGGGTTGATTTCCTTCTCTTTACTCTTCTGCCCTTTAGGTCCACGCATGACTCATTCAATTAATGCTTAACTCGGATTGGCAGCCACTGATTGGTTGATAATGAACAAGAATTAAACTATATGAGCTTCAATTATTGTAGCAGCCCGTCTGGAGTGTGTTTCAGAAAAATCAATACATTTACGTTTTCTATTATTTTGATTCGAGTATTTTCGAATAGTTTACTCAAGTAATTCAAGGTTAATTATTTTAATTGTAACTGATCTTTAAAGTTAAGGAATAATCGTGTATAGGAAGTTGATTGTCGGTAGCAATATGTGTAGGTATATAATGTTCAATTTGTTAACGGCTGATTCACCTAACGATTTGGTTTGGAGTTTTTGTTAGAAAATGGTTTTTGTTGAGTTATACCCCAGTCAATTTAGACATAAAAATAGTGATCAAATATTGGTAGAAATAAAATGCCAAAAGTCCCCATTGATCCCATGGGTGCTAAAAAAGTTATTCGAGGTCAAAGTCAAAATTTTCTCGAAAACGGCAAGTTTTATCAAAAATATAGCCTAGACAAAAATTGTAGATCATAAAATTTCTACAAAAATTTCCCCTATACTTTTTTCCTAAGATATCGCCATTCTAAAAGTTGAAGGAGTTACATTCTACATGATATGCACACAAATACCACGTATATACATAGTCAGATACTTAATATAAGTAAAAATGCCTATTTTTTTGTGGAAACTAACCCTTATTTTAATCCCTTCATGAAAGAAAGTGTAATAAGCAAATGAATTTATGAAATGCATGCTATGAATAGTGTGTGTGAAGAATTGGAAGTTCTTGCTAATATTCGAATGGATACAACTGACCAGCATGTAGATGCAAGTGATTTTCGAGTAAAGTAAGATGCTAAATATATTAAAAAACTTATTGAATGGCAGTGGCGCATCCAGAGTTTAAGTTTGGGTGGGGGTAGTGAAAATATTGACTTTATTTCTGACAAAAAACATATAATACAAGTAAATTTAAAAAGAACAACTTTTACATGTATAATAAATATTAAACACATTTTAAAAACATTAATAAAACGAAAGCTTATAAATGAAAACATAACAAAAATTGGGCATAACATACTACGTAAAATCAAGTCGACTTTTTTTATTATGTGCAAATCTATTTATAACATGGTCTACATTTACTTGAATGTCTCTGTGTATAAACAGAAGTGATAGCCCAACTAATCTATCCTGACCCATTGTTGAACGAAGCCAGGTTTTAAGGCGCCGCAGAGAGGAGAAGCTTCTTTCAGCTGAAGCTAAACTAACGGATAAAGTGACCAAAACTTGCAGGCATATTTTTAATAAAGGAAATATATTTTCATCGCAAGACGAATATAAACCGATACCATCTGTATCGCTTTTTTATGATTTTCCAAATACTGAATTCAGATTTTAATTTTAAAAGTATTAAATCTCTGTTTTGATTATTTTCAAATTTGCTTATATATTCCGCAACTACTTCAATCGACTGACTAATTTCAGTATCCGTTTTTGAATTGAAAATGGAAGGAAAAAATATATTGAACTCGTAGGTATTCAAAGATTCCTCGTTAAAACGAAATTGGACTTGCAATATATTATCTAACAAAGGAATATAGATGCTAAGTCTAAAATAAGATTCGTTATTTTCTGCAGATATATTGGGGCGATGCGTTTGTCTCTGAGTAACTCTTGGTTTGATAATTTCTAAATCTAATTTTTTATGAATGTCTGACACAAGTAAAAATGGTTCTAAAATAAAAATAAAATTTCGACGTCTTTCTTTTAAAATGGTGATAACATTTTGTATAAGCGTAGTAACAGTGTTTATCAATTGACTTCTTTTGCAATATTTTATTTAAATTTACAGTCAAAGCTAAAATATCAGACAGAGAGCATAAAGAAACTATAAAAACGGTGAAACTTATAGCATTTTTTAAACATTCTGCTTTTGAAGAGGCGTCCCGATCTTTCCAGTAGGAAATAATATCAAGAAGGTCTACAATGATTTGAATAGTACTTTGAAACTGAAGCGTAGATTCGTGACGTTCAACCCATCTGGTCTCACAAAGACTTTTAAGCTGACTATGGCCATCTAACTTTTGCTTAAGAAGAAAATTTCTTTTGAGCTTTTTGAAATAGATAAAAATGAGTGGTTGGCACAAGGACTTTTAAGTGAATTAGTAAATTTTTTTTTAATTCAACGGCTTCTTTTTGTTCACCAGGCATTAAGTTGCAAGTATCAGTTCCAATTCTTATACACTTATCGGGATTTAAATTAATTTTTTTAATAAAATTAAATTAGATTTGAGCCAAAATTTTACCACTAACCGTTGGTTCTAATGTGTCCTCATCAAACATTGCGTGATAATCAATAAAACCTACGAAATCTTCGTAACAGTATCTTAAGATTATTGACATTTGTGATTTATGACTTAGGTCCGTGGTTTCGTCAAATATTACACTATAAAATTGACTTTTATTTACTCGTTGTAAAATGGTTTCTAAAATCTTCTCACAACAGAATTCAATTATTTCATTTTGCGTATAACTACTAATATAGGTTGCACGAGATGAAGTGTTTTCTAAATGTTTTTTTAATACATCACCACTCTCTATTCTAAATTTAATTAATTCACGAAAGTTACCTTCATTATTTACAAGACTATCCTCATCTTCAGAAAAACCTTCGGAAATGACAAGAGATCCTCGATGTCTATGACCTCTAAAAGGAATATTTTGTCGTTCCAAAAAGATTACTGACTCGATAATGGGTTTCAATCTAAGTTTATTTTCTAAAATCTGCCTTTGTCTTTCTTGATCTAATGTATTTCTTACATCTATCTCTGGGTTTTCATCAATTTTAATTAAATTATGTCCCTCTGTAACAGCTTTACTACGATAGACCCATTTATCATGCATTATCAAATCTCCATCTTTTCCGAATAGTTTGGAATACTTATTTAGTGGAGTGGTAACAAGACGTCCCAACTTAGTTGACTAACGTACACCACCCACTTTTGAAAAAATAACGCAAAATTTACAAAATATACCCTCTAGACCTTGCGAAAAGTGTCAAAATGTCGTTTTGATAAAAAGCATTTAATATTTTTAACATTTTTTCTGTGAATTGAAAACGGGTACGTAAAATTTTCGATCCGGAACCATAGAGTACATTAAAACCGAATATTTTTCCCGCAATGTAATTATTTTAGATGTATTGACAAAAGGGGCAATGTCTATCGATTTTTTATAATCATGTAAAATATTAAATGTGGCAACGCTGTGGTCACTGCTACTACCGGCGCTAGTTTTGGCGATTTGTTTACCCATACTCGAACTCGAACCCGCTTCCTCAGAGGATTCCCCGACTGGTGATAAATTCACGATTTCCGAGGTTATTATTCCCCTATTTTGTTTTGTTTTTAACAAATAATTATCTAAGGTATTCTGTTTTCTCTTACTCATTGCTAATTTTTGGTGTTTAGTATATGCAAGTGCAAGAAGAAAAATAATTTGCAACAATGGTAAATTTTAGATATTATAATCACATAAACTTAAACCTAAATTATTAAACTTCAAAAAATACCTGTAAAGTAAAACCCTTACATGAACAGAGTTTATCACTTTGGTGATCCAGTATCCAGTACTTCCAGTAGAAATCAAAATAAAAACAAAATTATATAAGCAATATTAGTCGAAGAAAGAGTGAGATTCTGAGATACAAGCACGTACAACGTAGAGTGGGAACCTAAGTTAGGGGGCGTCCATTAATTACGTGAGGTATTTTTGAGGATTTTTTGACTCCCCCTCCCCCCCTGGCGAGATTTGGTAAAATTTTCCTTAACTCCCTCCCCCCCTTCCCTAATCTCACGTGAGATTTTTCAAAATTCGTGTTTTGGGTGTAAATGTGTTGGATTATTAAAAAAAAAACAAAAACACAATATGTTCCAGTACTTTTATTTAAGACTAGCAAAGACTAGTGTTTGAGAGTGTTGCAATTATTTAAAATCACATTAATAAAATTAAATGATAAATACTTAAATGGAAATTAATAAAAAATAAATAAACATAATTATAAGATTTTTCCATATTTTATTCTAGAAATACTTTCACTATAATTTAACTTTACTTTCACGCAATTTTACACCGTTTTCTAGTAGAAAAAAAATTACGTGAGATTTACGAAAACCCCCCCTCCCCCCCAAGTGAGATTTAGAAAGATTTAGTTTTATCCCCCCCCCCTTGAACACCTCACGTAATTAATGGACGCCCCCTTAGGCGCTTTGAGTGGCGGACAGCCGACGAAAGTAAAAAAGCGCTTTTGCCAGATTGAACAAAAATTACTGCAATTGGTCTTTCAATAGTTTGTGCAATACATTTTTAGTATCTATAAAAAGTTAGGTTTAAATATTCTTGGGGGGTAATTACCCCCATTTCCCCCTATATATGCGTCCCTGTTGAATGGTTTTCATCACATGATCCTTTTCTCGAAATTAACAAAATCTTATCTATTGCTCATGGAAAGGGAAGCAAAAGCGATACTAGCGCTAGCTGCGGATAATTCGTGCATTTTAGGGCGATATTTTGTAATTTTGGCATATCAAATACACGTATACATTTAACTTTTTTTTCAAAAAAGTAGGTAAAATCCACACAATAAGCAACCGGAGTTGCTGTATTGAAAATTGTACAAATACTAGCAAAAAAAAAACAGTGACACTTATATAAAAAATTTCACTAGCAAAGTGGAAATTAAATCAAAGAAATAAATGGATTGGTGTACAATAAGAAGAAAAATTACCTTTATTTTTGTGATAATAACAGTAATGCTGAAAATAGTAGACATCAGAAACTTAAAAGGTTTTAAATAAACAATAAATTATCATTTTATGATGTTCTTTAATATCCCTTTATTCTTAAATGTTCATTCAGCAAGGACTAGATTTAAAGATTTTTTGCTTTGATTATAATATGTGGCTGGAATGCAATGTTGTGACTTACTGATGGGAAACCAGTTTTAATCATTCATTCTATGTTTTCTTTCGAACAAAAATGAAAATATAAATAACAATCCTTTTTTATACATTTTAACTTCACGCTATTATTAAATGGTATTTTTTTATTTTGACAAATAGGCTAATTCTTCAATAACAACTAATTAGACTTAGGCAACTTCTCATACATTCTCCAGTAAATACTGTTGCCTGCCTATATTTTATTATTAATTTTTATTGATTATACATAATTTTCTTTAATTTAAGTGGGAGAAATATATAATAACAATAAATTAATGTTTTACTTGTTTTACAAATCCATATACTTTTATTAAAACTAACATATTTTATTAAAACTAACATATATACTTTTTATTTACGAATTCTATTAAAAAATTGTATTTGTCAGTATAGGCAAAAGTAGTCCTTACCAAAACAAATTGGCGCTGCAGTCGCGCACGGAGCGAATACAGACTTTTACGTGCATATTATGGTCAATGTAATCGTCCTACGGAGCGAACTATTCGAAATGTCAAAAAATTTTAAGATACTGGAAGTGTTACAGATATGAGAAGGTCTGTGAATCATCGTCGTGCACGTTCAGCTGAAAATATTGCTGCAGTTAGTGAAAGCCTGGGTGCCATCCCAAGAATGTTGATTTGCCGGCTTTTCTTATGGCTCCCTTTGGCGCATTTTGCATCGGGATTTGCATTTACATCCATATAAAATGCAGCGAACACAAGAGCTGAAGCCTAGGGACCATAATCAATCAACCCGAAACGTTAGATCATCTGAAAAAACAATATTCGCCAAGTTATTGCCATCATACTGCCCGAAATGTTTGAAAAAGTCATCGAAAATTATCTAAAAAGGATCGACTCTTGCAGAAGATCTAGGGGCGGCTATTTAAATGATATTATTTTTCATTCTTAATGAAATACTTAATATTTTCTATTGCTAAAGTTAAAATATAATTTTTTCTAAATTTTTGAGTTTTATTTCATTTTAAAGATGGAAAATTTAAATTGGATCACCCTTTATATAAGAAACGAAAAATAAACTTTTTTCTACCCAAATTAGAAAGTAAACAAAGAATAAAAACATTTTTAATATATACTTAACGTACGGGAAAAAACCAATGAAAAATAATAAGTACCTACTTCTTTTAGATCAGTCTGAATTAGATAATTAATAATCGTAGTGTTTGGCATATGCATGTTCTTTTTATGATGCCCTATTAATTCTTTGTTTCAATTTAAATAAAAACAATGATTATCTTGATGATTTTTTTATGGAGCCAATCTACAGTAGTGGATGCTTATTACGCTGCTTTTACTGCAGAAAATTTACTAGAGAAAATATTCTTTAACCATTTGCTGAAGAATGAGGCAAACTTAATAAATTAAGAACAAAATTTGCTAGAGACAAAAACAGTAGATCTACGTGAAAACAGTAGGTCTGACAACGCTGATTGTTCCCTCGAATGGTTATGCCTGCAAATGTCGCGCGACACTTCAAGCTTGCCAAATGTACGAAGCGTAACATTTATGCACCTGTTGTCCTACTCGACCTTGGGGTCGGTTCAGTAGTCCCTTGTCTCCTGACGCGCCTACCCAAATGGTACCTTTAAAGTTTACGAAAAGGAGGTATCTTTAGACAGGGTCTCCGTAAATGCTACTGGCGCCTATGTGCAAAAAAAGAATTTGGCGCCCCTTAAGGCATTTCGGATCATGTTTTTTTATTTATTTTTTTGAAGGTAGGTAGGTAGGTAGGTAGGTAGGTAGGTAGGTAGGTAGGTAGGTAGGTAGGTAGGTAGGTAGGTAGGTAGGTAGGTAGGTAGGTAGGTAGGTAGGTGCTTGAAATAAAGCTAAAAAACTGAACTTTAGAAGTCATATTTATTTGTAGACTAAAATATCAAAATGAAACAAACAGAATAAAATCATAACAAAATAAATTAAAATAAATAAGTATTTTAAACGGTAAAAATAATTTATAACATATTTCATCCATCTCTAGACCCGTCTGCTTTTATTTGGTGCTTTAATACGTTTATCAGTTAACATTTTTATTTTTTTTTTATTTTTTTTTTTTTTATTTGCAAAATATATATTAGAAATTCTATACGTATATTTATTTCAGTTAAATATTTATTACAAATTATTATAGTCAATTACATAATTAAATACTGTTCACGCGCATTTAGGTTGCAATACTTTGTATTTGTCCATGCCATTTAGAGAAGAATTATTCTCCTAACTCAATTCTAGCTAAAAACATTTTTGTTCTCCGAACTTCACAATTCACAACCCATCCTCGTATGTATTAAAGAAAAATTCCGACATCAGAGAGAGTGAAATCAAGCAAAAAATTGGCGAACGATCTCTTTCATCAAATCGATTTTTAAAGAAACATGTCGCTTCATTTAAATGTTCTGAATTCCAAAGCCTTCGAGCCATCAGGTTAAATTGCTGAGAGGCAATCGGACACACCCGTTTAGACATTATTGCTACTCTGTTTAAATATTTTAGCCTTTAACCGATCTGCACTTCTGCATACATAAAATGTATGTTTAGCAGTTTCAGTAATGATGGCTCGGAATTATTTGCATATTTGAATAGCTATATTTTTCACACTTCTCTGCAGGGGCGGTTTCTCCATTGGTTTATTTGTGCAGAGAACACCCACTTACATTTAATAAAAACACATTATTTTAAAATAAATAACGTACCAATGTTAATAATTTTATTGTTTTCATACGTGTTAATATCTATTTTTGGGTACGCCACTGCGCTATGGCTAATTGGGTTTCCATGGCGCTCTTTTATAAGTGAGCCCGAAGAAGTAAGAAGCGTTCTTGAAAGTATTTAGCTAAAAGGAGATGTCGCACGTTAACAGATCCCTGAAATGTAGTGAAACAATCATAAA